ATATCGCTATCGTTCTTATATTGCGATTTAAAAACCATTATTTTCGATATAAACTTAAATATTTCAATGATTTGAATAATAAAACTCGCGTTTTATGGGTTTACGAGTTTAGGTTATAAATCTAATTTATTGTAGGTTCATTTTTGTTTTAATACTGAAGGAATTATTTGTGATTCTTGCTCGATATTTTAATAAAGTCATAAAACTCAACGAATAGCGAAACAAAGTCTGTTAAACGCAGCGGAGTACCAACATCAAAGAAACCTAATTTTTATGGAATAATAGACATCAACCACAAAAGGTAATATCCGTCTTTTGGAGCAGCAAAGAAAAATCAATCATTAGAAATCAAAAATAAACAGTATAGAGAAAAGCAAAATTGAGAAATAAATTTCAAATTTCTCTCAACACGTCAAAATCAATAAAGCTTAATTAGAAATATGCTCACACGGTTTTAACAAGTCAAACCAATGCGGGCGACTACTGATAGCTGATGATTTGTTGAATGCATTTTAATCGAAATGTAAAGTAGTCGGAGAATAATGATAAGAAAGCCATTTCAATTTCAATTTTTTTTAAATATAATATTAATAAAAAATACTTTCTGTTTGCTCATAAAAGCGCACAAACAGACAAATCTTTAGTCGTCCCTTTTAAACATACAGAAATGCTTGAATTTATGGTAAAAATTAAAAAGAACAAATATACGGGTACAACTCTTACTTGAAATACGTAACGACAAATAAAAAATGACACTTGTGTATAAATTTTGTTTTAATGATATCGTAAAATCACTATGACTCTTACAAATGTGATGCCCAGCCTGAGTAAAATAAATTGTAAATATTCTCAGTTCATATTACAATGCTCTTGCACAGATAAGTCTAAATTAGAAAACCAAAAAATGTTATTTAAAAAATACAAGTACATATATAACAATCGATAAAAGTTCAAGTAATGTTTACTGATTAAACAAATACAAATAACGATACTTAAAAAAGCGAAACTGCACTAATCAATTTTTAACGAAATTAATATTGAACATTACGAAAATAACCGGCAATTTTCAAGCAACCTGGAACGAAAATTTTAAACTAGCATGACACGAATAGATAGAGCGTGAAATGTTAAATTAAAATTACATAACTACAAAACCTCGTTTTAGACAAAAAAGTTAAAAGTCATATGATTAGAAGCCAACAAAACAAAAGATAATTAACTTATTAACAACAAAATTGGTAATCAAGGACACGTTTATTCAGCTCTGGTACCCAATTGTGGATATTTCTGGCCAATTATCTGATAAGACAATTGATCGTATAAAGGTCGTCGATAAGAAATGAAAACATGTGATTCCCCCGTTAAAAAAATTTGTCAAATGAGAATATTAGAACAGCTGGCGTTTCAAAATCATTTGAAATTTAAAAAAATGTACCTATTACTTAACAACATTACTCATTATTATTTTTTATATTACAGTATAGATGTCATAAATATGTGAAATAAAATTTATGGCCCAATTAAAGTATCTTTATGTAAAAACAACACTACTGAATGTTGTAGTTGTGTGATAAATTAATAGGCAGTAAATATAAGAAAAATAAGCACTAAAATTGCAATTACAATACAAAATCAATTTGGTAATAATTATAGAGAAACAATTTAGTATCAGGCGTGACCACATGCATCAGCTAAATTATGTAGTTCAAAATAAGACAGAAAAAATGATCAACTGCACGACTTGTTTATTCAAAAACTGCTATGAAATTACCAAATACATAGTTTTTTCTACGAAAAATAAACGCAAATAAGAATACATTCACTTGTCTATAAATTAAAATGACAAATTTTGTTATGCAACCAATAATTATGATTTAGGACAGACGAAATTCAAGTCATTATTTTCCAACGTCACACCACAACATAATAAAGTATACAATACTCATTCAAAATGTCAACATCAGCTTAAATTGTTTACAGATTTAATAATTATTAGTATCACAAGACCAGAAACCGTCATTTGAAAGTGCAAGCACTTGCAAAACAGTTTTTGGTCGTGTGGTACACACTATTTTTTAGTCCGACCAATTTTAAATTGTCTCAAAAGTTCAAAAAAAATCAAATACATAATTTGTGCTTAAAGAAGTTATATGTATTCAGGTTGGCAACACAATGTCCAAATTAAACTCCAAATTATTAAATTAACTCCAAATTTAAAAAAAAAATCAGTACATCAAATATTTGCTATAAAAACTGATGAAAACAAACCGCTTGTCATTTAAGACATAAAAAACCACAGATGTTAACAGACAACCAATATTGCCAAGATTTGGTAATTTTTTGATGACCTAATAGTACATAAATAGGGCTGTTTCCAAACGATGTTGTCGAAAATCAACATTCCCGAACGAAGGATCAAAAATGTTGTTTATTTTTCAAACTTTTCTGCTAAATACAAGGTGTTGTACATAATTTTACGTGGCCTACGCCTGTAAGATGCAATCAATAAATACATATTCCGAGACGAACTCGATTACAAATTTAAAAAAATTAGACAATCTTTCGTTTGTTCACACAAAATTACAACTTATTTAGTTAGCTAGTGATTAAGATAAATAAACTAGAATCATATTCATGCCATAATTGTTTCTAAAAAACTGCAGTTTATGACTATTAATAAAACAGTGATTAGTTTGACTACTGTCATGGGTTTCCACAAATTAAATAATCAAATTTGCATTTTTTGTATCTAGTGTTTTGTGAGTTTTGTATATTTGGGTGCATACATTAGGCGTAAGCCTCGTAAAGTTGTGTGAAACACCCTGTACTATTGAAAACAAAATATTTTACTTTGGTCGTCAATGTCACTTAAGTGACATAAAGTTGTAAAGCAAACATCAGGATAGTGTTAACCTTATTTTTTACTACTGTCAATCATTGTCAAAATTTAAAATTGTTAAAACGTTCTTTGCCACTTGCTGACAATATACAGTATGTCCCCGGATTGAGATTACAAGAGGATTTTTTTTAATTGATTTTAGGCCAAAACTGCAAAGGAAAAACATTTGTTGCTTCACCTGAAACGAGCAAGTCTGTAATTAAAACTTCATTATTCTGATTCAGTAAAAAGAAAAGTTAATTTTTCTCTGTTTCAAGTCCTATCACATTGGCGGTTTAATTTATTTGAAACTATATGTCACTTTGACAATTAATTTATTAATTAAATAATGATTCGTGTTGTTTCTTTGAGTTGTTATTAATTAAAATTATGTTTTTCACAAAGATTTTTGTTGCGTAAACTCATTTGTCAAAGTGACATCATTATCAAAAAAATAAAACGCCAATATGATGGTATTTAAAAAAACAGAGAAAAAGGAAAAAAGTCCAAAATCAAGAGAAAAATAAACTTTTCTTAGTACTGAGTTAGAATAATGAAGTTTTAATTACAGATTTGCTCGTTTCAGGTAAGGCAAAAAATGTTTTTCCTTTGCAGTTTGGCTAAAATCAAAGATAATTTTTTTTCCTCTTGTAAACTCAATCCGAAGACATACTGTATATAACAGTACTTTTTGTTGTACCCAATGTTTCTGCAATTTGGTCCATGACCAAAAGCAAAGAAGACGACTTAAAATTTTTGAACAGTGGAATATTTTTGACATATTTTTTGACAATAATTTAAAATTGTCATCAATGTATACTTGACTTTAAAATACTTGGTTTACATGACTTTTTTGAAGTTTTGATAAAAAAATGATAACCAAAGTATTTTGTCCGCAATAGTAGTTATTATTAACATGAAGATGAACAAAATGGATATTTGAGTGAACATTTAAAAAAAGTAAATTTTTTTTGAAAGCTCACTTATTACTAAATAAGGTTTTTTTTTAATTTTTAATAATGCAAGCTATACTCCTGAAAAAAATGATTGACGAGCTCGAAATAAGCCTAATTGCTTTATTTTTACCATGTTGGTAGATGATAATTTTATTGGTACAGAATAATCTATTCTAATAAAGAACGATGTATCCACGATACAAAAGAAAACAGGTGAAATGTAGGAAAGAATGCATTAGTTTTTCTTCTTAATTTTATCTCTTTCAATAAATATTTGCCGTCTGTAGCAACTTCTGATTACCAAATTTACTACTTTACCAACACAAACAATACTACCAATTCTCAAAATTACGTAAATTCCAATATAAATGACTGGTGGATGTAGTAAAAATCAAAAGTTAGAGTCATTTCCAACACAACCGGAAAAGCATGTAATAAAAATCAGGGTGTTTGTAATTCCAGCATAGTGTGTTTTTCTGACGACGGTTGGTAGTCAACCCCTACAAGCGAAACGATGAAGAAATAACCTAAATAAACAAAGCAAACCAAGCCGGTAAAGCTAGGATTTGTGTAATTTGAAAAAACTGTAATAATAAAGTTATATCAATGAAACACCACAAGAACCTCTCGGGACTAGAAAAAAGAACTGGTGAAACCCTCGCTAAATTATTTACAGGGGTCGGACTTGAAGTTAGTTATAGGGAATGAGAATAAATCTCGAGACTGTTCATTGAGTGTTTTATTCATTCAATCGGTAGAAGAAAATAAGTGAGTGCAGACTGTAACGAAAGCGAAATTGCTTATTAATTCGAATATGGGAATAGATTTCCATATCGAAACAGCAGGCAGTGTGCTGTGGCGTATCATCGAAACAGTTGCATGCAGCAGCCCACTCGAATCTCGAATAATTGTTGAATGGTAATGCGTCCCGCTCTCAATTACAAAAGTACAGAAGGGGCTACCGGCGAATTAGCACAACTCCACGTCAACCGTTTATAAAACTCTTAATAGAATGATTACTGTGTAACGGAGAACTGTTGCCAAGCGGTTGCGGCCTTGTTTCAATGCACCAGGCTGCAGCAGCATCACCTTGGTTCGAACTTGCCACAAATCACAAATCACACACACACGTCACAATTTAACACTGCCTTCGACCGGGGACTCACCTATTTTTTTCCAGTTCGTTGTGAGATGTCCTGAAACAGAAGAAAAACAGTCACATGTCTGACCAGAACAAAGGAACGTGCACCCACGTTTTCCGTCGGGGTGGCTCGGCTTGTCTCAAACTCACCTATTGCCCTGAGATTTTTTATTCTTTGGCCTTTTTGAAGCACTTCTGAGATCATCGGGAATTCGCGCGGTCGAGGCGTAACCATGTTCAGCTTCTGAAACAACAAAACATTGATAGCGTCAAAAACAGCTGATATACCAAAATAGAAGCGTAAACTCGATTGCGAGAGTCTTTTGTTCGACCACAGCCTACTGACCTCTCTCTCGTCGTTCTATATATTCTGCTGCTTGTAGTAAGACATTGAGGGCGCTCATATTAATGAGAAATTTGATGGAATACTAGACAAAGGACCGTCCCGCAACGAAAGCACGTTCCCCACACACACTCGGAACACACTGACTGGCGATTTATCGTATCGATGTATCGTGTGGCGGGCTCGTAGTTGGCACTGAATGCGCAGTACGTTCAGCGCCGCCCGCGATTCATCGCGATCACCACTCTGTCTCTGGGGCCAACAGCTGGTCGTGTTTACATTCAGACGATGCGATGGTTGGCATTCCTAATCGAGATGGAAAAACAATTTTCATTAAAATGCATGCATTTTTCATAAATATTTCAACGGATTACTCAATCAAGGGTGCGTGAGATGAACAACACAGTAGAGGATGAATGGCGCCCCGGGTATGCAACTTGCAATTGGAGCGCCACATAATTAGGTCGCGACTATTAGGGGAAACACCGAACAGGAATTTTCCCCATTCCCCAATAAAAATTAATAATTTTTTTCTAGAACGAGCTTTAATTAAAGCTGAAACTTACTAATAGAGTCAGCCGAAAGATATATCGTGTTTACAACTTAATYCGGTATTTAACTTTCACTAATTTTTGTGAAGGGCTAACCGCAAACCATCATTTCTAGACCCCAATAAAGGGAGGTAAACAGTTTTTGTCAATGCTGAGCCAGGCCCGTTTTTCATATACCGTGCGATCAAAAAAAAAATTAGAGTAGGCGTCGATTAAATTCTACAGTTGGCAACACATTGGCTGGAAATCTGGGCTGAACATTTTCCACACAAACTGAAAGTGAAAATGACCATTCACCGTTTTCGTCTTGTACAGCAATACATTATTTCACTCAAAAGGAATAAAACACAAAGTTGTCAAAGTTTCCGCTGACATTTGATGTCAAAAATCAGGATTGCCATCTGAAGGACTTTAATCACCGCTTACTCTAATTTATTTATTTTTTGATAGCACGGTACTTTTGTGTGATGGTTACAGTTTTATATTGGGGTGGTCATAAACTTATTAAAGAAGAGGTTTTTCAGTGTTACAACTGGTTCTAATAAGAGAGAAAAATCTCAAAAGACTCTCATACAAAAGTTTTTTTAATTCACAATTTTTATAGAAATCTGTATAATGATAACATCACATCTGCGTTTATTATAGTGAAATAGGTTCTAAAACTCCGGTTTCTGGGAAAAAGAAAAATTTGTATCAGAAGTGAAACACGTAAACTGTTAACTTTGTTGAAACAAAAACAAATTAAAATATTTTAGAATAAGGGGCCAAATACTATGTAAAAAAACCTTCGGGTCAAATTTCCAAACGACTTGCAAAGAAAAGGCTTTTACCGAATGACAAAGCCTATTTGTACATATTGTCACTTCATTGATAATAATAATATAATAGTAAATGTCTACATATACAAACAATAAAAGTAATTTAATATGTTTTTATTATACCTGCATCATAGTCCTAAATGAAAACACGCTGCAGCGTGCGTAATTTGGCCTTTATAGCACGCTGAAATTTTAAAGTTGTCTAGGTAACAAGAAATAGTGAAATGTGTGGACCAATTACAACGTGAAAAAATGTGCTTAACAACGTAAACTAGTAACCGTCTATACGAAAACGATTTACAAACAACCTTTGATAATTTGATTGTGTAAATTCACATTTTTTCAATCATAAAAGATCGTAAATGGGCAGGTATAATAAAAAATAGCGTATAAAAGCGCCTTTAAAACACTTACGACGTTAAAAGCACTCCGCTGACGCGTCGTGCTCTTAAACCCGTCGTGCTTGTTTTAAACTAGTATTATAATATACTATTTTAACAAAGTATCGTTTACACAAATGTTATAGAAAATAATTAAGTAGGTACAGTATTCACTCTTTAAAATTCTTTAAAAAAACAGCAAACAAATATCTAAATAGTTAAAAAATCAGCAATCGTGTGCTTTCTCTTTGCCAAAAGTTAATCGAGTAGACCATTGACCAAAGTGGTCATGTTGCCAAAATGCTGATGACACTAAATAATGACTTACAAAGGAGTCAAACCATAAATAAAGCAAGGATCGGTACCAGCAATAAAATGATTATGATCTTAATGGGCTATAGTTGACGTCATAAATTACGTCGTATTGGAAGATTATGGTTTAAATATAATATATCTAACATAATCTAGATATAATATATCTAGTTATGGGCATATAATGCCTATAACTATGGTTTAGTAAAAAATATAGCTTGTAATTTACACGTTCAGGAGGTGAAATCATAAATAAAAAACTAATTTCATGATGAAATTTAGACTTCAAAATAAAAAACAGTACGTATAGAGTAATTTTTTGTCCTCAAATCAACTCATCTCTATAGTAAAAGACCTCTCTATTATATATCTTCTCCGGTAAATTGTTTTTGTCAAATGATAAAGTATGTCGAGAAAAGAATCGAGAGAAAATCGCAAAGCAATAAGAATTGCAGGAAACTTTTATACTACTTGTAACTTATTACAACTCTATAATCTCTCTAATCCCTGACATCGATCAATCGTTTCTTTCAGTTCGTCTTTCCTCTCCATGAAGTCTTTCATTTTATAATTAAATTTCGCTTAATCAAAATAAAATCATTAATAGCATAATAAGCAATAATACTTTTGCCAACAACTATACCTATTCAATGAATAATAACTAATTTTAAAAGTTCGTAAAATTACAAAACATCTGCAGAAATTCACAATCAATTATTTTTTTATTGAAAGACAAGGAGTAGTACGGTAGAATAGAGTTAGACTTCATCCTGATATTAATAATGCAAAAGCATTTCTCGAGAATAAATCGACGTGTAATAATCTTTAATTGTATTTTAAATTTAATGAAATTTTCAAAAAAAGACATTAACATTTTACATTCTCTAGTGTCATTATTCCACATTAAAAATTAACAAGTATAAATTATTGCATTTATTTTGCACGAGTTCTTACCTACTGCTGCTGAATGTTATATTTTTTTACCGCTAGATATCAAATTAAATGGAATTAGGTTACATAGACATTAATTAAAAGTTTTTCCAGTAAAAGATATTACTTAATACACAAAAAAGCCCCTGAAATTTAATTAAAAACCATAAAAATTTCAAGCAAAAAAATCGAATAATAACAATTACTAAAAATTATATCATAATTTCCATGTGTGCTAAAAGCACCCTATACACAGTGATTAAAAAAGGTCAAACCAATGTAAAAGCATTCTTTAAGGTTTCTTTAATAAACAAGAAATTGACTTAATTAATTAAAGTTGCATCTTTGAAGAGGTGTATCTACCTAAAGAAAGTACAAATTTTTTGTTTGTAATTTTTAGTGATATAATTGTTCTAAAAGCCACTTAAGTAATTGTAGACTCCTTTTGAATCACTCTGTATAATTAAGTAAAAGGAACGCGTTCTAGTCTCTACATAACTGACTTGTATTGATTAATGCATTTTTTTTTAATAAAAAATTATTTCTGTAACAACGATAAAAGGTATACGCCAATTCCGCTTTATTATTTTCTTCAATGTAGTCCCGGCACCTTAGATTGATCAGTTTACCATGGAAACGGCTCCATTACCTGCTCCCGGGTAATCCATTCATGAAATAACTTGTATGAATTCAGTGATTGATAAATGAAATGGAATTTAACAACTTCGAAATGTACTTAGGTAACTAATTTAATGTAAAACGCTTTATTAACATTAGAAATAAAAAAAGAATTTTCTTTAAACAATTTATTAACAAAGTAGAAAAACAAAACTGTTTTTTTACATTTCTTTAACTGGTTCAATGTTTAACAGTTTTAAAGCAGTGTGAAATACTTGTTGAACTGCTTTTAATAAATAAATTCTCGCAAATAACGTGGGAAGAAGGTGTTCCTTGGCATTCTGGAAATAGATATGACATTTATCTTAAATTTTTGGAGAAGATAAATGAGCTTACAATGAGTATTTTTACCCTCCTGTAATACACGCTAAAGATGGACGATAAATTTGACAAAAAAATTATCAAATTATGAAGATTTATTGAACTTGATTTAATATCACACACTGTGCTAATAACAACAGTTGGAAATTGTAAAATATAAACATAGACGATTTCCCATTCTTCCTATAAAATTACTATCAATGAACAATCATTTTAACAATAATTAATGACTCACAGGTTGGTTAAGCAAGGAGAAATCGATTTTTTCCAAGAGAGGTAATTCAGGATATAATTTATTTGCCACTCGCTCATCGAACTGCTTCAACAATGAAGACAGTCTTGCACAATTGTAAAAAATAAATGATGGACCTTAAATTTAACTTTAGATATTGTTCTACCATAAAAAATTTTTACCTTTATTTGTCGCTTGCAAATTGTTTAGCGTAATTTTTATCGCTTTGTGTAACCTATTTTGCAACATTTCAATCACAACTGACGATTTTCCCAACTTTTCGAAATAATCACCCCATGATGGTTTCACCTGAATCCCATATTTATGTTGGGCCATTAGTTGCAAATCCAAAGCTCGCTTTCTTAAAAAATGATATAAAAATTGATAACACAATTATTGTTTACTACCTGTAAAGTTCAGAAGCTCTTGTTCTTGTATCTTTGAAACCATTTTCATTTAAAACTGAGCCACAAACCAAAGTGCAATTTTGCTTTTGATTTGAGTTCAATGTGATTTTAATGTTACAATCATTTTCAACAGTATTTCCACATAAACACTCAAGAATGTTTGATGCAACGTTGTGGGTAATAAAGGCACGCAGTTCGGTTAAATTCATTTTAGTAACATCGAATTCTAGTGTTTCATCAAGGGAAATAGTAATTTTTTTGGTAAAGTATTTGTGTAGCATGCCATAATTTTCGTTCTCTCTCAAGACCTTTTTTATGCATAAATCTATCGCCTCAGACCTTTTTAAATATAAATGAACATCAGTGTTATTTACTATTTTGCATTCTTCTATTGTTAAAGCCCAATTTTGGCTTTGTGTTATCAATAAATCGATCTGCTTATTTAGGTCTTGTCCTGGTGATAAATAGTCAAATATCGTACATAAATTAATTGGAGACTTATCGATAATATTTTGTGACCAATTTTTTATACTCAAAGGAAAGCTTACATCTCCCAAACGGTCAAGTTTTTTTGAATGTTTACGAATTATGTTACCCTTGACAAACCTGCATCCTGTTAAGTATTCATGTAAATCTTCAACAAATGCAACAATATGATACATTTTTACGACAAAAAATAAACTCTAACGCAAATATTTACAATTTCATGTTTTTATAACCTCAATTTTAACATAACGTCAAATAAACCTGTCAAACTGCAGTTGCACCAACCAGAACAAAAATGTTCAACGTCAACTGACACGTTTTAAGGTTAGGATTATGGTACCTCATTAAAATGATTTTATTGAACATTTAACGTGTTAACTTAAGACTTATTGTATTAAAGTAACTCATTTGTGCCAAAAATGATACCTAGAACGTTATTGTGTACGGTAATAATTTTGTTAACTATATTGGAAGCACATTCCCAATTACTAGAAGGTATTTATTGTGGAAAAAGCAATTGTTACGATGTCTTGGGAGTTACAAGAGAGTCTACAAAATATGAAATCGCAAAAGCGTACCGAAAACTTGCGAAGCAATACCATCCAGACTTACACCGTGATAAAGAAGCCAAAGAAGCAGCAGAGGAACAGTTCAAAATAATTGCCAATGCTTATGATATCCTCAAAGATGACGAATCTCGTTCTGAATATGACGATATGTTGGATAATCCTGATCAGTTATATGCTCACTATTATAGGTACTATAAGAGGAGGATGGCTCCAAAAGTTGATGTCAGGATCGTTCTGGTTGTTACTATATCAGTAATTTCTCTGATACAGTATTACAGTGGATGGCAGCGTTACGATACAGCTATTAAATACTTTATGACTGTTCCAAAATACAGAAACAGGGCTCTAGAAATAGCAAAACAAGACGGACTTCTACCAGACAGTAAGAAAGCTTCCAAAGGTAGAACGAAAATGCCAAAAGATATAGACCAGATAATTAAAAAAGTTATTGAGGACAAAATGGATATTAAGGGCGCTTATGCCAAGCCACGCATTACTGACATTTTATGGATTCAATTGATAATGTCGCCATACACATTAGCAAAATATATCTATTGGTATATCTCGTGGATATGGAGGCATACGATACTTAGACAACCCTACAATGATGAAGAAAAGCTCTACATTATAAGAAAATACTTGAAGATGGGCCAGTATCAATTTGATAGTCAAGAAGACGAAAAGAAGGAAGAATTTTTAAGAAAAGAATTGTGGATTAGAGAAAACTTTGATGAGTGGTTTAAGGAGGAGGAAGAAAACGCAAAAAAACAATTGGCAGAAAGTAATAAATATAAACAATATAGGAGGTACTTAAAGAATCACGGGGTAGGAAGAATGACATTTGATGACTCTTAATTTAATGTATCTAAACTGATTATTTTAAATAGAGTAGGGTACTGTCTAAAAATATTTATTTTATTAAAAATTAAATCAATCACTTCTGAGCTTTGTATTTTTGAATATACCCTTCTTTGTTAAACATCTGTAAATTAAGAACTTCAATTAAAAATGTTACGATTTAGTTTTGTTTTTATTACCTCCCACTCTGGAAGAGTGATGGCCGATATAATTTGCGAGTTGATGCCACCATTGTCACGAAATTGTTTCAATTGTCTTTTTTTCATAGGTTTTATGTAAGGCTCGCCCTTGCTATCTAAAACTTTGTTTAAATTATTTACTAAAAACAATAAATAAAATAACCTAAGTCCATATGGGCTCGTCCATCTCTAATCAAAAACGAACAATAAAACATATTTTCAACTGTGGTTGAAAAACTACTAGTATCTACCACATAATCATAATATTTAACTGGCCGTTCGTGATTTCTCTCATAACATTCAGTTAAAACATCGTATAACATTTTTACAATTTCGTCAATCCCTTGTTCTTCTTTTTCAACATTTGTGACCTTCTCTGGCTCTTTTTTCTGAAAATTTTCTTTTTCTCTCTTTTGTCTTTGCTTTCTCTCTTTTGGTTTTGGTAAATTCTGCATGTCGTAAGTTCCATAAACAAAATTATATTCAGGAACTTGTCGAATTATTTGTTGAACATCAGGAAGCAATTTAAGTAGGTCTTGAGCATCAAAGTCACCATCTGGATTACAAAATGTGGCCTAAACAAAGCCACATTAAAAATTGGGAATTAAAAAAGAAGAAAACATACAATTTTTTCGGCAAATTCTGAAGGCACGTACGTTAAAACATTAACATCAACTGATTCCAGACATTTCTTTAAAATTCCACTAGCTGATGACAGTACTTTGGAGTCCCAAAAAATCTCTTCTGGATATTGGTATCGGTCATTTATGTTATGTTCTGACTCTATTATAGTAAGTTGTTTAATTATGTGACCAATTTCTCTAACTGTTTCCAAACCCAACTCCTCCTTCTCATCTACTCATAAAAAGAAATTAACCCAACAGTAAGTACAAATTCTAAAACTTACGTATTGTTTCAACAAGATTCAGTAATTGACGATAGAACAGTTTTCGTTGTTGAGTATTTTCTAACTCCATGGAGTTATTATTAGTTTGATCAGAATCTTCGCATTCCATTACGACTGTACTAGATCTTTTTGAATTGTAAAAATCTTTCCCTCTTTGGAAAAAATTTCTTACTTGAAAAACTTGTGAGGTTAGAAACACTTTGTATATTTACTAGGGATATTTGTTTGCTTGAATGTTTTTCAGGACGATTGCGCCGGAAGTCTCCCAAGTGCGAATGGGTTGTAATTTTTTATTAAAAATAATGTTTGATAGGTATTAACAAATTAGCTATACAAAGCATTTGCAAAGCATAAAAGTGCGTTAATAGTACAAATAATTTTTAGCACTTGCTCAACTCCGGTAATTTGACTTGTAAACAATTTTTGTTTTGATTTGACATTTGACATTTTATTTTAGTTTGACAAATGTATTGTAGGCAGTGGATGTGTTTATGTGTTTTGTGAATTGGTAAAAGTCACATAAATTTAAAGGTTTTGATTACTTTTGTCAGAACTTGAATTTTAATAAAATTGTGTTCGTGTTAAATAATGCTCAAAATTGTTCCAAGTTGTTCCACTTAAGTGTGACCCTATTAACCTATCGCCAAGCTCTCGGTTAATTGAGCATGATTAAGAAAAGTTTCACACTTCCAGTAATAGTAACCATCATGTAATGAAACAATTCGAACATTAAGTTAATTAAGTCATGCTTAACCTCAACATTACAAAAATGTAAAATACCTAGGGATAAAGACATGTGGACAGTAGTTATTTCAGGGTGTGTGTCATTTTCATTGGTAATGTCGTTGGCGTTTTGTCTTTGCTGGAGGAAGAAGTCGCCTAAGTAAGATTTTCGCTTTTACAGTGCTTGGATTGTTATTTTTTTGTAGAAATGACTTGTTAGGGCTTGATGGCATGGTCATTCAAAAAAACCCTGACGAAAATGTTAATCACTTGCCCTCTGCTGCACCATGTGTTGTTGACGGCCTAAATGCTAGTGCACACAGTGCTGACTTTAACGATTCTAATAATAAAAGGTATTGTTATAAATTACATGTTTATTGCGGATTTGAGTCAGGAATTTCATTTACTTAATGGATATTTATGGAAAGTTTGTTTGCACATTATGCATACCAAAATAGCTTTGCTTGTGACACTGAGAATCTGGAACTAAAATACACTGCTTGTATGTGTGATTTTTCAAGATTTTTTTGTTGGAATTTTGGTATTGCATGCACAAAGCCGCACATGTGAATCATTTTTTATATGGGGTTAAAATTTCATAATTTTAGAAACATTCCTGCCAATAATACACGAAGAAGTCTCCCCGATATTCCCTCAGAACAAGGGATTGCGCTTGCTAATTGGGAACCTATAGGTGATAATTCTTCAGAACATTACGCCACAGTTGGGCAATATCAAAATGGTATTAGAATATTTTTTTAATATTTTATAATAACATTTTTTTTGCAGCAAAGCGTCATACGCTACAGAACGGTGTTGAACCCCGTCCTAGCCTGTCTCAACACAGTTCGATAACTCAAGCCGACGATAATTCATCACCTTATGAAAAGGTGAAATATGACAAAATCAAATCAAAAGAACACCCTTATGCACAATTGCAGCCGACGACAAGCCGACAGGCAGCTTTAGAAGAAAATAAATTGCTTGGTGAAGAAAGAACAACTTTGTTGAGGTGATTTTTACAACAATTGAAGCTTTGAGTAATATATTTGACATTCTCAGACCTAGTGGATCGAGTACCTCATCAGAACCATCAGCACCCCCACGATCACGAAGATCATCCGCCCACAGTGGACTAGGGGTTGATATTCCGGCAGCTTCAGCGGTGGCTGGAGGTATTGCTGCTAGTCCAGAATTGCCTTATATGACTCCGCCCGTAACGCAGGCTAATTTTAGCGGGGATTCACAGGACTCTTCGAGTATGCTTTTATTTAAAAAAATAATCTTGTACGACAACATTTGTTTCAGAGGGTTACACTAGCATTAGTGTAAGAGAGCCATTAGCTAATATTATAGCGCAAACAAAAGAAATGAACAAAAAGAGGGATTTAGACCAGCATTATTCCACGGTGTCTGATGATTCAGGTAAGTGAATTTTGTTTGATAATGTGGTGTAAATTTTTGAGTGTTGCAATAATCATTCTTAATCTAGATTTATATTTTGATACGGATTAAATTACATGCATTTTAGTCAAAGTATAAAAGTACATACTGCAAGGACATTTAAAATAAATATATTTTATCATAGTTAATGGGGGAGATTTGTATCATATTTTTTAATAATCTTTTGAGAAATAAAAAACATGTATTATATCAAAAAATATGGTTCGGACAATTTTTCTTGAGGGAGTCATATTTTCTAAATGTTTGATCTTGTCCTGTCTCTTATTACAACGATTTAAAATTTCAAAATAACCTAACATTTTTTGTCTGATTTCAAATATAAACTTTATGATAAAAAATTGATTTTTTGTAAAACTTTATTTTGCTAATGAAAATATATTTTATTCGAAAACTTGCTCAAGTATATCATTATTGCTCTTGCATATTTATTGCATTGTTTCACTGAATTTTTCTGTAGCTCTACCAATTTTATTTTTACGTAATTTATTACAGGGTGTTCCAATGAAAACGAGCCACCCCGAATATCTCAGAAACTAAAAAGACTGCAAAAACGCCGACACAGATCAATTTTGTTTCTGAGGGGGACATTTTTTGACGTAATTTTTTAAGCACCCTCAGTAATCCCCTAACCCCCACATACCCAAACTTAAAAAATTTAAATAGCACTATCCTACTTGTGGCACATCGAATGAAAGCTATTTTAACAAGCTTTTTAAAACTTTTTACCAAAATTGAATCAGACCATCCATTCATGAGATTCAGGGTGTTCTAATAAAAACGAACTAGAAAGAATTTGCAAAAAAAACCGAAACAGTTTAATTTTGTTTTTTAAAAAGACATCTATTGACACAATTTTAAAAGCACCCCCACTAACCCTCCAAGTTTTCCACCTCAATTTCGGAATTTCAAATGACACTGACTCACTTGCGACAGATCAAATAAAAGTGTTTTTAAAATGTTCTTTAAATCCCTTTTCTAAAGTTGAATGGAATTATCTATTCATAAGATATTCGCAAAAGATAATGTTCCTAATTAGTAATTACTTTTAATAAAAACTATTTAAAAAAATTATAAGAAACTTACTAATATTGTTATTGGCGCTGTAAGAAACTTGTTTTTATTTCTTTATTTTATTGTCAAAATAATCGTACTAAAGGAGAAGGGATAATAAAGTTTCTTATAATTTAATGTAAGTATCTAAAAAATAGCATTATAGTTCTTAAGTTCCTTTGTACCAAAAGATTAGTTTTTTTGCCGATATTTTATGAATGTATAGAAACCATTTCATTTTAGAAAAAAGCTTTTAAAAAGCATTTTAAAGGTGTTTTTATTTTTTGTATCACAAATGGTTGGTGCTATTTGACATTTTAGAGTTAAGTGGCACAGAGGTTAAAGGGTTAGTGAAGGTGCTTTTAAAATTGCGTAAAAAAATTACCCTTTTAAAAACAAAATTAACCTGTTTACCTGTTTCTTTTTTTTTTTGCAAATTCTTTCTGGTTCGTTTTTATTATGGTATCTCATGAATAGATGGTCTGATTTAATTTTGGTAAAAAGTTTTAAAAAGCTTGTTAAAATAGCTTTCATTTGATGTGCCACAAGTAGTGTAGTGCCTTTTAAATTTTTAAAGTTTGGCTGCGTATGGCTTAGGGGGTTACTGGAAGTGCTTTAAAAATTACGTCAAAAAATGTCCCCCTCGGAAACAAAATTGACCTGTTTCGGCGTTTTTGCAAAGTCTTTTTAGTTTCTGAGATATTCGGGATGGCTCATTTTCATTGGAACATCCTGTATGTTCCTTACAACAAAAATACGTCCTAATACATTATCGAATCACGTTTAAATTTATGTTTAGTTCACCATGAGATAATTATTTCTGAGAGTTTGAAATAAATAATCCACTTAGGTAGATGAACATGTGTACACATGTATGTATATTTTTTTTTTCTTATCTTATTAAGAGAGGGTCCTCCAAAAAGTACTTGTTAATACCCACATTTAGATAAGAGTTCTTTAATAGATAGATTATTGTCTTAAATTTAAATTTTTATTTGAGACGATTATTTAAATAAGTATGAAATGAAACTTTGTTAATTACAAATAACTGACTGTATTATTAGATGATGTTTATACGACGATACCCGACCCTAACAACCAAATCTACACGAGTGAAAGCGAAACCTACGCCCGAATCCCTGCTCATCCTATAACCGTCGAGGCCGAAGTCAATCCAACCCCTCGAAATCGCGAAGGCGACGAATTTTACGAACCAGCACCCCAACCACCGCCTCCTAGTGTAACTAGTTTGAAACAAGTAGCTGGTCATTCTCATTCCCGCCAAGGTAAAAATGATCTCAAAAAGTTGGCCAACCTGTTTGACTTGTTTCTTAGCCTCCTCGTCAAGCTCCATAGCTAATATTGGATCCCCTAAACCGGAAAAACGTCAAGCGAACTCACCCTTACCTCCACCACCTGGTTCTAGTTTTGATTTTCCGCGAAATTTGGATGATCTCTACGCCAAAGTACACAAAAACAAGAAGAAGGAAGATTCTGATGGCGAGAAGACTCCTGAGAAGGCGAAAAGGAGTGGGGATAATACGAGTCGAAAGTCAGTGTCGAGTTGCAGTTCTTCTGAAGAAAAGAAGTTCCATTCGGTACAGGGACATCAAGAACACAATTATGAAACTTTACGGAAGTTGAATAAGGATTGTAGTGATCCTGGATATGAGAAAATTAGGCATGAGGAACCAGGATATGCCAGTATTAACGGGCCTGAGAGTATAACGAGCTCAGATCCGGGCTACGAAGTTTTAAAACAGAGGCCTCCCTCGGAACTAGACCCCAACTATGAAGAATTACAACATCGAAGTTCAAACGCCAGTGATTCCGGTTATTCGAAAGTCAAGGACAGCGACGGTTATTCGGTCGTTAATAAACAAAAGAGTGACGATAAATCGAGGACGTCAAGCAGTTACGGTAGTAATTCGCAAGATTTTAGTTTAGATGAACCAAATTATGAGAGTATGCCGAGTGAATCCTTGTCTTCCGAACATAACTACGCAGCTCTAAAGTCGGGTGGAAGCGAATCGGATCCGAATTACGAATCGGTGAATCAAAGTGATCCGAACTATGAGAGTGTGAGGGATTTGGAAGAGCCTCCGTATGAAAAATTAAACGATGGTGATTCGAGTAAGGCGGATTCGGATATTCAAGGGTATGAGAAAGTCATTGGGCGCGGGTATGAGAATATTGACACTTCGGAGAGTTCCAATGGAGCTGGGGATACGAAATCTCAAAAATCTGGGCCGCCGTATGAACATCTGAATAACGATACTGATTCGGAAGTGCCTGGGTATGAACGCATCAAAAGTAAGGAAAATGCGTCATCCAGCATTGACTCGAGTAGTTCGGGGAAAAGTGAGCCGGCTAAAGGGGATAAAGGGTCGAGTATACTTGAAGAAGATGCAATTTTTCAAGTCTAAAAATCGTGCCTACAATCTGGTGCTAAACAAGTTTATACCAATTAATTATTTTCAAACAGTGATATAATTACTTAGATTAATCTTCTTTTTAGATTCGAAACTAATTCAAAGTAGAGATTTTTCTTTTATAGAAATTCTATTTTGATGTCGTGATTACTTAGCTAGAGTTTTACAATTTTTCAACGAAAAGTGAAGTATGTATACGTATTAAGTACTAATCAGGATGTGTTTATTGCATTTATGTTGTCTCATTTGTCTTCCATATAATTTATTTCATTTGCTCTGTGCCAAATAGGTATTCAGTACTTTTTTATGTTACTGTGTTTACAATAGACTGCTTTTAGATGATTTAATGATATATTTAGTTACAAAATTGTTGCAATATTAAAGATTAATATATTTATAATTTTATTTATATTTTATCTATTTATTATAATGTGTAATATTTTTAATAAAAACTGTTTTTATTTAGGTCGTTGTTTAATGTCAAAACAATATAAGTCATAATTTGCATATTCAAGATTATTGAGGTTGTAGTTTCAAAATAAAAACTACTCAACAAATGTAATTTTTAACGCAAAATTTAAAAACTAAAATAATTACATTTTACCCGGCGCATTCACCATTTTTGAGACCTAACTAAATGTTTTTGATAATTTTAAGGTATAAAAAGTTGTTTGTAAAATAAAAGGATTTAAGTATATTAAACTATAAAATGTCAGAAAAGATAAATAATATTTTAGCAAACAGAAAATATTTTAGAAAAAAGAATTAAAAGAACTTGGTTTTGTTTATGACAAGAGAGTTAGTCTAGACAACTTTGATACAAAAATACTATCTTTAAAAAATATTATATACAGGGCGATTCACACAACTTTACGACCCTGACGAACTTTAAACCAGTAATACGTCACTTAATTATAACTTGATTTAAAAAGACTAATGATTATAAACTTATTTGAGATTTGGACATCCCTCATAAAAATCTAATAACGCCAATCAATAAATAAATGACTACAATGGAGTAACAACACATTTTTATTTTAGTAAAGAAAGGGTGAAATGTGTGAAATAGTAAAAAAAACAGTGAAATAACTCAAAAAACTAGAGAACTTAATGCAACAAATTCTCAAACTGATTTCCATTATTTTGTAAACATGCTTGACTGCGCGTCACAAAAGACTGTCGAACTCTCACTAAAATGTCTGTAATTTCTCGGCATGCAGGACGAATTATACAGGGTGTTTCACATCAGGCCTGCGCCTGTAAGATGCAATCAATAATACAGTGAGAAAAAAGTCTGTCTATCAAGCAAGCGTAGAAATTTAAAACGTATGTCTATGGAAGATAAAATGTCACAATGAGAAATGTCAAAATAATTTTTATATTTTTTATGACAGGAAACCGTGATGAACGATTTTTGTGAACAAACACCAACAAGATCTCATTTTAATTTGTTTTGAGACGTTTCATAGAATAATTCAATTTAATTAGCTCAACGTTTTAATTTTTATAAAATAATTTTTTGACATCTAGATAACATACGAACTCAACTAAGACGCCTACTTGATAGAAAGACTTTTTGATCGCACTGTACATATTCCGATACAAACTCGATTATAAATTTTGAAAAATTGGATAATCTTCTCTAGTTTGTTCACCCTTTAAAAAATTACAACGATTTTAGTTTGTTAGTGATTAAGATAAATAAACTACAATCATATTCATGCCGTCTCTTGATAGAACAAATGATAATTGTTTCAGAAAAACTGCAGTTTATGACTATTAATGAAACAGTGATTAGCTTGACAATGGTTTGACAACTACTGTCATGGGTACGAAAATTAAATAATGAGATCTGCATTTTTTTTATCCAGTGTTTTGTGACTTTTGTATAGTTGGGTGCGTACATTAGGCGCAAGCCTCGTAAAGTTATGTGAAACACCCTGTATTTTTCAGAGTTTTCATATCTGCAAACGGAGTTTCGTAAACTTTGTTCTTGAGGGTTCCCCATAAAAAAGTAGTCTAAGGGACAACAACCGGTACTACGTAGTGGCCATGCGTTTCACTACCGACGACTAGCTAATCCCAATATCTCTCGAAATTTTTAACCAGTTGTCAATTATAATTGTCATTGATGTTAGGGGTGTCCGGATTTCATGCTAATTAAACATAACTAAGAGTATCAAGTTACAATTGAATAATGTATAATGTGTTGCATTTAAAGTTCGTCAGGGTCGTAAAGTTATGTGAATCACCCTGTATAATAAGTCTAATTTGCATATTCAAGATTTTCGAGGTTGCAGTTTCATTAGGAGTTCTACAAAATAAAAACTATTAAACAAATGTAATTTTAAACCATTTAAAAACTAAAATAATTACATTTTACCCGGCGCAACCACCATTTTTTCTGACCCTAATAGAAGACCTGACTTTAATGTTTTTGATAATTTTAAGGTAAAAACAAAAAGAAAATGTGTGTCAAAATAAATGAGTGCATCTCTGGCAGGTTGGAAGAACGAAATACTAGTGATACATTTAATATTTCTATATTTCACAATTTTTAATATATCTATAATCACATATACATATATTTCATATCTTATATGTAGCAGAAAACCCTCAGTTCACAGGAATCTGTTGAATGTCCAGGACAGATATCCAAAACGCATTGTATCTCGACCCCCGGATCATTCTTGTAGATGTAGATGAGCTGAAGTTTTTCCAATAGATGGAACAGACTGAACGGTTCTGACCATATCTATTAATTACATACGTTGGGGAAATATAATTACAAACATAGCACATCAATTTAGTAATAAGATAATAGCTAAATTACGGTACTGTCGTTTCGAAAATCTGCCGTCGACGCATATTAATCACGGGCTGTACCCCAGGCAGCCACCCGTGAAAAACTGAGCCCCTTGCGTCGCGGCAGATTAACGACGGCGTTAAGGTGTCGCTTCCTGGAGAGAGAGACCTAACGCTGCCAACTGTAACCAACCTTCCTGTCGTCTTACTGACGACTTCCGGCCGAGGGAGAGGGTGACTAGAATTTGCGTAGCCTACTTTGCCTTGAAGGCGATCGGCCAGTGGTGGAACAAACCCCCCGGATAACCAATCGGAACGCCTAATCACTCGTCGCCATTTTCGTTTTCGCACTTCACTTGTTCAGTCTCGTTTTGACGGTCACTCGTCGAAATCGTCCCTTTTAGGAAACACGGACCATAACCGGGAGGTGTCTTCCAGTGACGTGGCCGATCAAGGACATATCATGTGGGGGAACCCCCGTTTGCGACGTGAGTATTGCTCACTTTTTTAAGTGCCGATGGTTTCGCACAAGAGCTGACGAAGCATGCCGCAACGCTATGTTTCGATTGCTCTTTGTTCCAATTTTTTTTCTTTCGTTAAATAAACTTTAAAAAACTACAACAGATCTATAGTACATGACTTGTACTTGTAAATAAACTATTTAAAATTAAATAAACTGAACGGGCGTCTTGCCGCGACTCTAATAATTAATGAATTAATATGAATTCACCACAGATTGGTAAAATACCATACTATAACGTAATAATTATTACAGTTTACCGTTTTGTTTTTTAAATATACATTTTATGTAATACGTTTCGTAAATGCAACTAAAAGAAGAACGAACAGCCCATGCCCTGGGATAACTGTCTAATAAAGATGACGAAAAATAAACGAAACACTGAGGGATGATTAGAAGGTGGTGTTTGTCGGGTCCGTGGGTGATTCGCCGTCGTTGGTGGGAAGAGGCGCCAGCTGGGCCCCCGGCGAGACGAGCATGGTGGGTTCGGTGTTGCGCCGCTTCATTTTTCCCTTCATCTTCTTCAGCATGGTGGCCTGGGGAGGGGCGCACACACAAACACTCATTAAAATTCAACGTTTGGAAAACAATCAATCAACTCTACTTGAATCAACTGAAAAAGCAATAAATCGAACAGTACATGACGAACAAGCAAAATATTATACATGCCAATGAACATAAACATGATGGAAACTTTAGAAAACACAGTTGAGTTTGTGAGAGAGTGGTGTGTTTTATATGGAACGGGGTGGGTCTAGTCATCGGTGCTCTTGCCCCCCTCCCCATTGGCAGGAAGAATGTTCGGTTCTGTAGGCCGACGCTTGAACTTATTTTTCTTCAGCATGGTCGCCTGCATCAACGAATTCGATTAACGAATGTACAACAACAACTGGTGGAACACTCAACAGCGGATATTCAGCGGGTTCTTTACCGTCTTACGGGTTGTTTTTATGCAAACCTCTACTATAGCACCACCCAAATTAAGCAAAAATTTACGCGTGATCATCGAATTGCTTTTTTAGTTCTACAAACAGCCGTGAGTGAAGGAGGTAGCGCCATTGAAGAGGAGCAAGCCACATTTTCCACATCAGTTCAATAAAACAAAACATTATACAACGGGGTCTCACATCAAAATTTTATTTTTCTAATTAACTTTTTTACTTCGTTCCAAAAATAAATGATTACTGTCTTTTCACGATAATCATAATTTTCTACCATTTGAGTTTTTTGTCCAAATGTCATATGCTAACCTACTTTTTGAAATACTGAAAATACTGAAAGTTTTCGTTATTTTCATTGAAAATTTAAGAAATTTCTCATTTATTCTAAAAAATATCTTACTGGTTTAACTTCTGAAAAATTATAGTGTTTTTTTTCAAAACAAAAACAAAAACGACTATAACTCCAAACGGTTCTTCCTAAAGCTAAAGTTACCACAGTTACTCGTATTATATGTACAATGAGTATTTTCTCTTTTACACCTCCTTTTAATGTTAAAGATTTTTTAAAATTTTACGGCAAGCATATTTTGTTTGTTATTAACAGAAACATAATTTGCTTTTTAATATTTGCTAAATCATCAGATATACGAAAAATATTTTAACAACTAGCAAATATTCAATACCCCAATAAAAACTAAATACTGTGAAATAATATTTTTTTACGTTTTTATTGTGTTGAACACTGAACAAAGATAAATATTTACTTCGTTTTTTATTATTTTAATGGAGATTATAAGTATTAGGTTTTTATTTATTCACCCCACTTATCGATTACGTATTTAATAAAATATTTTTTAAGTGAAATAAACTTAAGTGACCACCTCAAAGAAAACAGCATTTTTTAAATCGATGTACTAAGTTCAAGCTGAAATAAACGTTTTTGTTCTAAAAAATGCTTTTTATGGACCCTTTGTGATGGTCTCTCTTGATTAAATTTCCGAAGCTAGTAGTTATTATTTTTTACTTTAAGAAGATTGGTTTAGAGAATTTGTCTGACAACGATGTGGTTTTGGGGAGGGTGGGGTAATGCATTGCACTACATGCGATTGTATGAAAACAGTCACAAACTAGCTACATGTAATAATAGAAATTGCAAAGTTTGTGTCATATTTTAGGTATTAGTACATCAACTATTACAT